TCGGTCCGCCTTTATTCGGTTGTGGTGCTTTGTGGAGCCTCCTTTTGGTGGCTGCTTCTGCTGCTGCTGCTGCTGCTGAGACAGTCCCGACGGCTCGGCAAACTCGTACAGCGCAAAGTCAATGCCAATGGTGGACTTGCTGCGCCCTTCAAAGCGGCCCTCAGTGAGCCGCTGAATGAGATTGCTTTTGCCGGCGCCACTCTCCCCGATGACGACCACCTTGATGAGACCGGCAGAGTCGGGGTCGTTGGGCGAGGCCGCATAGTCGGTCCACTGCGGCAACGGCACTCTGCCCGCCTGAATGGCCGCATTGGTGCTGCTGTGCGTCTTTTGGCTCGATTTGACGCTGTGCTGCTTCTGCTTCTGCTTCCGCGAAGAGCTGTGGTAGTAGGCAGGGTCTTTTGTGGACATGATGATGGTGAGGATGAAGAAAAGTAGAATCAGTTCACCTATTACTTGTTGATATTCATGATGTTCAATTTGGATGGTGGTCAAATTTCACTGGTCAGAAAACCAACTTGAACATACAAACAAACAGACATGCAGGTAAACAAGCCAAATAACATGCAAAATAACATGCAAAATAACATGCAAAATGAGCACAGGCAGTGTGTGTGAGTGCAAGTGCGTGTGTGTTTGTTGCTTAAAGAAATTGGTGGGCAGAGTGGAAGTGCTGACGGTGATGGCGGGGTAGAAGAATGAGGAACAGTACTCTACAGGCAATATCCCACTACCTGCATCTGTTGCTCTCTCACCGGTCTGCCTTGATGTGGGTGCCGTTCATCATCATCAGCACTGCACATCACATCACAGACAGACGGAGAGGGGCAATCATTTGCGGCAATCTTCTCTCTCCTCTAACGGTGAGAGTAGTAACTGTAGGTGAGTGACGGTGGTTCTGCGGCTGCCGCTGCTGCTGCTGTACAAAGAGCACTACACTGCACACGAGCAGCTGACACCGGTAACCTGGTGGTGGTGCTAATGAAGACAGTTTCTGTGCTGTGTGCTCAAATTGCCAGCCTGACTGCCTGCACATTGCCGTGCCTGGCGCTGGTGCGGCTCACTGGCATTTGCAGTGCTCTCTGTTCACACTGTTCAGTGATGCTGAGGCTGCTGACGATGTCACTGGACACTGCACACTGGTCTCCGATGACACACAGACACACTCACACAGTCATGGTGGATGACTGCCACGAGCCAGTGCTACAGATGCACTGCAAAGTCTACCAGGCGTCTAAAGAAGGCGTCATCTGTTTCTTCTACTACTAACGTGCTATGCACCGAATGCATTACAAACCACCACGGGCAAACACATTGTGCCTTGCACTGAGCAAACACACACCGATTGCGGTTGCCAGCACCACCAACGCCAACTCAAACTTGGCCGCCATAGTCTTCGTCTTTGTCGTCGTCGGCCCACATGTAGTGATGGTGGTAAATAGATGAGAGAAGGAGAAACAGAGAAATATTGTTGTACCAGAAAAGAAAGAATAATTAGACTTGGTAAGCGGAGCAACAGCAGCAGCAGCTTTGAAGAGTAAAGGCACTGCTCACTGTCAGACAACTTTGATAGCAAATGACAGGGTAGTGGCCGAAGCACTGCGGCTAACGGATACATAAATCACCAGCCATCACCGGCCACTTGTGCCAATTTAATGTGTGTGTTATTTGCAGTTCAGTGTTACTTGCGACGCAAACAGAGTTCTCCCTGCCAAATGCCTTATAAGTCGATCGGTAATCACCTCGCACTAGCACTTTTGGGCTTTATTCAATTATTCAGTTATGTGAGTGTGTGTGTGAGAGAAGAGGATAACCCTTGTTTGAACTTTGTCACTTTTACGACAATAGTCACAAAGTGATAATATTCAATTTGAGCTGGCATCTGCATCTGATGATGAGCCGTATTCGCTCAATTAGCCCTTCTCAAGCTGCCAATGAAATAATGATAAATTGGCAATTGAATGTCACAGGTAATTGAGCACACACACAAGTACAAATACACACACACTCACGGCCAACTGATTAGAAAGTAGTCAGGCAACCAGGCACTCAGTCTGTCACTCAGTCGATGATTAATTAGCTCGCCATTATTGAGCACTTATATTGAACACTGATGACAGTTTGCAACTTGAGTGCCTTTTCAAAACTGAGAAGTAGTAAAAATCGCCTCGAGGGGGATAGCCTGGGAGAACCTGAATCAGCAGACAAAAGTGCAAGTCCCAAAACCTCAATTTCAAGTGTCAGCCCAACTGTTACTAATTTTAATTTTTTTATAAAACAAAAAATGTTGCAAAATATGTGTTTGTAGAACTCAGGCACTCACTATCAAGTGCACATCTAGTCTTGGTAGGTGATGATAATGAAACTTCAGACTACTGCTCAGTGTTGACAGTATTAATTCAGTACTGCTGTGTGTGCACAAAGTGCTTCAATGGTAGTGAGTACATTGTGGAAATGATAATGAATGAGTGCGCATTATAGCGTGAACAGGTGCAAAATGCAGTCAGTGCAACAGCAGTATTTGTCTTTAGCTGAAGATTGATACAGTGCTGGTAATTACAGTGAAATCTGCCTCGTTCCGTACTGCAGGTGATGCGGCGACGGCGGCGGCCTTTCGAGGTCAGGCACTCGGGGCGATCGACTGGGACTGACGCGACGAACCTGCGTCTGGTGGGCACTGCTTCGAAAGGGGTTGAAGGACCGACCAGAAGAAGAGGGTCTATCACCGGTAGAACTTCCCTTCTTGCCCCGCTTCCTCACCACCAGCACCCAGACGATAGAGATGATGATGACGAGGATGAAGGTGCTCAGTACCATGAAGGCGATGATGATGATCCAACTCTGCAGACTGCAGCGAAAGGCATTGTGCACGTAGCTGGAGCACGTCCCGTAGGGCGCCGCCTCGAGGCTGATGCGCAGCTCATTGCGGCGCATTCGGAAGTAGTCGAGCGTCGGTCGGTCGCCGCACCTCCGCTTCACCGACTCCTCCATGCAACTGNAGAGATGATGATGACGAGGATGAAGGTGCTCAGTACCATGAAGGCGATGATGATGATCCAACTCTGCAGACTGCAGCGAAAGGCATTGTGCACGTAGCTGGAGCACGTCCCGTAAGGCGCCGCCTCGAGGCTGATGCGCAGTTCATTGCGGCGCATTCGGAAGTAGTCGAGCGTCGGTCGGTCGCCGCACCTCCGCTTCACCGACTCCTCCATGCAACTGAGCACTGACCAGAAGAAGCAGCAGGCGCGCATCGGATCGATGGACGCCCGTCCGTCGGCGTTGTGCTCCGCCGCCCGCCAGTTCATGGCCGAGTCGGCGCGACAGCGCTGGTACTCCGGCTCATTGACGATCAGCTGGTCGCAGTAGCGGCCCACGCTGAAGGGCAGCACATTCCACTGGGTGCTGTAGAGGCTGCTCGGGTGGGCGCCAGAGGCGGCGGAGAAACGGGCGAAGGCGCCGTACGGGCCGCCCCCGCCCACTGAAGAAGGATACGGCTGCTGGTAGGGAGCTAGGCCGCTGGAGAAGGGCGTGTAGCCATGATGAGGGGAGTTTGACAATTGGTGGTAGTTACTGGGAGCAATGGACATAGAGCTGAGTGCGGCCGCCATCAGCGGCTCCAGCGACCTCGCCAGCAGTGATCGACTGGGCGGATTGGACTGCACGTACACCGTGGCAGTTGGATCCAGTGGGTTGCTGATAACTGCAGCTGAGGGTGATGATGATGGTGTTAATTGACGATCAGCTTTCTGGTGAAAGATGGCCACCACCGGTGCTGGCGAAGTGAGTGAAATGATCAACAGGTGAAGAGCTAAGGAGAGCAGCACCGCTTGCATGGCCATCTTGATGGCAAATGATAGCTGCTTTTTTGGTGCTCAGGAGTTGATGCTACTGTCGGTGAATGATCGTCGAATGATGATGGTACAGTAATTAACAGCAGATAGTTTACACTACAGTCAACTGTGGTAGGTTAGCAGTGACAGTGAAAGTGTTCTGTCCTGATTGTGTCAAGTGCTAACAACAACGAACTACTTGAAAAGCCAACATTTTCGCACTGCATCTCATTGCCACCAGAGAATGGAACTGAATTGCAGTTGAATTGAATAGGAACAACGTCGTTAGTGTCGGTCCATTTGTTTGAGGCGCTCGTAGACAGAAGAGGGAAAGTCCTCATCACACCACCAGTTCACTACCAGTTTTTTGTGGTCACTGTCAACTCTCTATCTCTGCTGTAGCTGGTGGCACACTTTTTTTGTCACCACACAAAGTGGGCACTACCCAAGCAGGCAGGAGAGAAATGGCTGTCGATCACTTGTAGAACACTGGCCCATTCAATCGGCATCATCCCTGTCTGGCTGGCTTTGTCTTCGCCATCATCTACTCCGCTCATTGTTGCCTGCCTCATTTTCCCTTTATTTGCTCATTTGTGTGACAAATTGACGAGCCATCACTTTCACTCCATTCAGTTCAGAGCTGTGAGTGGATGCGATTCCAATTTCCCTCCTCCTCCACTCTCTCTGCTTCTCTGCTGTTTGCCTGGCTCAAACAAAGACCACAAACTCAGCACACAGCGCACAAGGTGGCCTTTTGTAGGCACTGATGATGGTGGTAGTGCTCGGACGATCTTGAACCAGCAAACTTCAACAAAAAGCGCCCACTGACAACGTGTCAATTTATTGGAACATATTGTACGTGTGCTTTTCTGGAAATGGCGGTGGTGGTGGTGGTGGTGATGAGTGAATGATGATGTCGCATGACAGGTCGATTCCATCCCACCTCTTTGTGCACCTTTCAGGTAGTGAAACGATTTCCACAGATTTCCTCTGAGCAAAGTGCTGCGACACATAATGACAATGTCAACGAGTTCTGGTGAAAAAGAGCTGATGATGATTGAGATGTAACTATTAGGGTTGGCAACTTGCTTCTTCTGCTGCTGATTTTTGTTGATCAAAAACTAGGAATACCAATTATAACCACAAAAATGAGTTTGTTGCACCGTTTTTTTACTCCTTGTAATTTGGTACATTTTTCAAAAAGGTAGAGCGAATTGCCTCTTCGAGCTTTGGCAGCTTAGAGACGTCAAGAACTCGACCGCGAAACTTGGCCTGCTGAACTGAGCCTTTTGCAGCAAACTGGTTGATTGCTCTGAAAGTGAGAATAAAAAATGAGTGCTTGTCAGTTTAAAAAGTATTAATATCACTTACATATCGGCAGCCTTCTTCACGTACTCCTCCTCTCCGGCCAGCATAATCTGTCCGGGACTTTTAGCAGTCAGAGAATCGTCAGCGATTGAAATGAGAAACAGTCGACCGCCCAAAAGGTTAGTGCCAATTGAGCTGATGAAAGAGGAGATAAAGTCAAATTCGCCTTCTTTACGGTGCAGTGTAATGAACGTTGGCAGAGCATCTTCTGGTGTTTGAAGAAGACGTTCCGCTTCCAACTTGCCGAGATCACGAAGACACTGGACACAGTTCTACAAACAAAGTAGAAACTTCCAAGTTTAGTGGCTTGACAAAAATAATCAGCTCTCGCCCTTACCTTATGCAGTCGCTTCACCGTCTTCTGCGCCTTATCAACCATCGGTTCCAGGTTTTCCGGTGTACACTTGAGCAGAGCAGTCAGACTCTTTTCTCGCTTCACCGCCAGGCCAAGGTACTTTAGCACCCGACCACCGGCGACAAAGTGCAGCTGCGTCTTGCCCTTATTGCCCTTTGCCGTGCCCAGCAGCTTGATGGCCTGCAGATCACCCAAATTGACGACGTGCGTCCCACAGCAGGTGTTCTTGTCAACATCACTGATCTCCACCACTCTCACTGGACCACCTCGCAGGGCTTCAGGCACGTCCATGCGGAAGCGAACATCGCCCAGGTTGTCAGGCTCTCGGTAGGTGACCAGAACGTCCACTCGTTCGCGAATCTTCTCATTGACCTTCTCCTCAATCACCTCCATCGTCTCATCGCTGATCTCCTTGGCGTCCATCTCAATGAATGAACTGTCGACACCGAGGTACCACGAGGTGGTCTCCAGGTTGAAAAGCTTCAGTGCGATGGCTGTTATTAGATGCTGACCCGAATGCTGCTGCATGTGATCGAACCGTTTAGTCCAGTCGATCTTCTGCACTGGTTTGTCGCCCACTTTGAAAGGTGGAGGCACGTCACCCCCGTCGTCCTTTTTTGCACACTCATCGGCAATGAAGAGCACCGCCTGTTCTCCGTCTCGGCGGACACTGCTCACAAAGTGACTATCAAGAGTGCCAACGTCTGATGGCTGAAGAAAATCAATGAATTAGCAAAGAAGAAGTTTATGTCACAGTTGTCCTTACCTGTCCTCCACCTTCAGGAAAGAAGATGGTATCTTCTAGAACGACATCGTAGCCATCAGTTAACTTGCTGGAGCCATTGAGAGCGATCTTTCCTCTTTGCACTGACTTTACAGCTGCATCTTTGAACTGCAAGCAACAGCAACAACAGTTATAAATTGATCATCACAAATCTTAGCACTTACATCTCTAAGGTAACTATTCTTCTGGCAGAGAAGCGTCATGATCTTTTTTGGTCCAAAGTTGGTAGATACCTGAAATGAATGAACCGGTGGCGAGGCGACAGGCGAACCAAAACAAAACATCCAAAGCGTGTATGAGAACTTCGCGCCATCTTCCAGGCGCAAATTGTTTTAAAAAAATTTTCGAATTTCACTTTTTTGAGGGTAAATAAAAATGCATTCCCTTGCTAAAATACTCTCTTGACTCACACCTTCAACACCATGATTTTCCTTCTAGTGACATTTTTTACCATCAATCACTTTTCAGCTTTTACTTCCTCATTTTCCTCATCATTCACATCATTCCCATCTCCTCTGTGCAGTCGTTTGGAGGCATTCTCACGGAGTCAACTGCAGACTTCACTTGACTTGAAGATGTTCAGCCTTTACGAGAGAACGCTCTACCTGATAGACGAAGAAGATGACCTCTACGAGTTGAGTATCAGCGAGCAGACGGCCAATCTGTTGCACAGTAGCGAAGAGCTGCCTCTCTTCATCACTTCGGAGACTGACCACGCTGGGAAACTCGAGAAGGTGACTCGATGGGCCCAGCCAGCGGGCAAGTGGTACAATCACCCTTGGCTGCGACTGGACGCCGTCAACAGTCCACTGGCCAGGTTGCAGCTGTACGGTGACCACACTGGAAGGACACTCTGGCGACAGTACCTCTTTGCCGATGGGCGACACTGTCTGGTGAGCAATCGAACCGGTCAAGTGGTGGCCGCCAAAGGAGACACAAAGGAGTTTAGAGATTACTTGTAAGTGCCTGCTTTCCGATTGATCAGTGATTTTTTGTTGGCTAAATCGCTTTACTTCAGAGTTATCAACAGCGAATTTGGTAGTCTACTCTTGCACTACGACAGCTACAGCTGGTTGAGAAGTTCAAAGTTGTCGTCCCAAAATCGACAAGTTGTCTTTCGCCCATCGCAGCAAAGGAGATTTTCAAAAGGACAAAAACTGTACATGATCACCAACGCCCATCGATCTGCTCTGTACTTAAGAAACTCAAAGCCTATTTCCACCGGCAATGATCTTTTCTTAAAACTGCCCATCGGCGGATTTTTTGTTGATCACGGAAAGAAGCTATTCTTACTGACGGGAAAGTTCACTCGAGAAGTGATCGTTTTGGAGAACTTCACAACGGTTAACAGTGAGCAAAAGTGGCAGGCAGTACGCACCAAATCGTGGTCCTCCTTCTTTCGGTGCTGGCCAAATACAAGTACCTCCAGTAAAGGTCTTGATCAGTCCAACTACCTAAAAGTGGCCTCAATGGTGGTCGATGACCGAGAAGTTCCGGGAACCCTTTGGGCTAAGGTGGCCGCTTACATCATTGCCAGCACCATTGTCTTCACCGGGTGCTTCTTCATCTACCCGCGAGGTGCAGCCAGCAGGAAGGCAGGAAACGAGGCCAACTCTAATTCAGGAAGCAACAGCAGCAGCGACAGTGGTGACAATTTCGGCCTAACATCATCGCCACTGGACCGCAAATCGAAGCTTCGCCTGTCTGATCTGAAGCTGAACAACAAACGGTCTAGTAGAAGTAGTAGTTCCAGCAGCAGCAGCAACAACAACCACAGCCGCAGTAGTTCTAGTATTGCCAGTACCAGTGCCGCTTTTAGCAGTAGTACACCAACTCAGGTTGGTGATACTCCTCTGTGGAAGCTGCCACCAAAAGAGCTGACCACCATCAGACCGCTGGACTGCAGCTCCCTGGAGAGCATCAATCGGGCGATCAATCAACAGGCTTGACACCAAACTTTTTTTTATTTGGGAAATAAACTAGCGTAACGCGCAAAGTTTTGGCTGTTAAAGCTCTGAACTTGTTGAATAATTTGGACCAGTGCTTCTTTCATTTCGGCGGATTTTTTCGAAAATTCTTTTTGACCACTATTTTGATGTTTTGCCGATTCGCCCAGTGGTAGTTTTTGTTTGTCGAAAACAATCGTAGACCAATCTTTGAAATCTAGTAGTTCATCTAATTGGGCAACAGCATGTTGATCGCAAAGTAAGTCCAGAAGACAAATTGCTCGATTTGAGTACTCCTCAACCAAATTCTGCATTACTTTAGGGTTGATTGTGGGAAACTTGGCATAGTATGAGAGGTTAAAGTGGTTTACCGGAAGTTGAAAGTTAGTTGCGTTTTCAGTAACCATATTGCCATTAGTCAGTTTAGAAACAAACAATGCAGAGAGCTGGTTTGCAATCTAAATTTTTAAAATGGCAATGAGTGTGTTACAAGCAAAAAATGCTAAAAACTTACTTTTATAGCAATACCAAAATTGTTTCCAAATTCAAAAGCCAACTTTTGCGCTTTTCTGCTAAAGTTGGCCTGATACAAAGCAGACTGAAGTGAAATTCCTATTAGATGCCCAGTTGAAAGGTGACAGTAGTTGACAAACTTTTGGATGGTTTGAAATTTATCTAAAGTAAAAAATATATTGTTGACTTTTATAATTGAAAGATTGTTTTTACCGAAATTGTCTGATGCAGTCAATGCTAGTGACTCTCCTTCACTAATTTTGACTGTGGTGTTTGATATTAGGTTGTACAATTTAATTTTTTCAAATGAAGATATTTTAAGCAATGCTTTAGCAAAAAAGTAATCACCCACTAGAAGTTGCAGATTTTTTAAAGAATTTTTAACGTTGTTTTCTTTTAAAGGTGAAATGCAATCGTGGAAATAAAACCCATAGCTGATCATATCATAAAATAGTGCCAATTGTACAATGTCTGCCTCAAACTTGGCGTCATCATTAGTTGCATTAGAAGTGTAGAAGAATGCTGGCCAGAATTGTTTGGAGTGAAGAAGCAATTTGGCAAACAGAACTGTCGTTAAACCAGTTATTTGATAGTTGTACGACCCAATGTACTGACTGAAAGCAAAAAATCAACTACTTAACTTTTATTTTAAAAAAATTTTATTTTAGTTTACCTAACTATGTTTTGTATGTGCTTGTTTTTCTTCAGTTTTTGACTAGTAAAAAACTTTTCAACAATGTCATTGGACAAAAATGTCTCCTGATACAGATCAGTGTCGTAGTTGACCAACGTTTTAGCCTTTGCAATGCAATTGTTCCATGATGTGTTTAGTTGCCCAAGCTGATCATTCAATGAGTATCTTTTTAGTAGTTCGAATGCTTCGATAGTGTCATTTGTGTTGCTATTTAGTTTCAATTCAGGATAATTGCTGGAAATGGTAGCGAAACGAAAACTTTGAGTGCAAATAAATTTGCGTAATAATGCAAATGAGTTTATTTTAAATGTTTGCAAATGAAACATGATGAAAAACGCTGAATTAGTTAGAGTTTTAAAAACATTTTTACAATATAATTTTTGTTTTTTAATTTTTTTTT